TTGCTCTTTAGATAAAAATTCTTTTTGTTACGAGGTACTTAATTTTGTACATCCTTGTTTTTTCAACAACATACATTACACGTTCTATAACATATCTCATATTTATAAAAATCAGAAACAATGAGTTTTAAAAGTGATCGTTTTGGCATGGAATTACTCTTATTTCGTTGTTGAAATGTGGAAATTTGGTTAGACGTGTGCTCGATTCAGGTTAAAAGTTGGAGCCGTCTACAACGTGCTAACGACAAAGGTCGGCACTTGTGGCGGCGATGTCAACGTCTCATCAAGCTCCTTAATTGCGATTAGCGAACGCTGCCGCCATCTGCGCCACTGCACCTGTGGCGTTGTTTAACTCAGTGATTACCATATTGTAATCCTCGAACACTTTTCGTCGATAAAAACGAATGCAAGGTATAAATTATACACCAAATTCGAGTTAAAAAACAGTTCTCAAAGCTGCTGAATAAGTTATAGTACAATTCTGGGCTAGTCCGGAAACGATCAGTGAATAGCAAATTGCGGCCAATAAAAAAATTGCAACCAAGGTAATTCTGAGAAATTCCAGATGCGCATTGAAAAAAACTGTGAGAATTTGCAAGTCATCATTGAGAAATACAAACAAAACTAAAACTTTTTTTAAAACGGTGCGCTCTTAATTAGGTTTACAAATAATGAAGGAGGAAATGTAATTTACGTGTCTGGCCACGTATTTTGTATTCGCGGGGATAAAGAGCTTATAAAACTATTAACGCTGCTGAATAAATGGTTGCTTGGGCTAAATCACTAATTATTAGTTTAGTGTTGTTGGCGAAAGAATACTAAAACAGTTTGTCCTGGAACAGTTTGTTTAGATGTACGAGTAAATGACAGAATTTGAAATGTCGCCCAATTTAATTTAAAAAATATTTTGCAAATATAATTTTTATAAGATATTACTGTTTTCACGTAATTATTTTTACGAGGTCTGATCAATAAATATGGTGACCTAGGATCTAATGGCATCAAACTCTTAAGTACGGTTTACTAGCGGACTTTGTAATCTCTGGTATTGCAAAAATATACAGAGTGCTCGTTTTTTGAGCTCCACCATGGGATTAAGGGAAAGTTGCACATTTTTATATTGAACTAGTTTCTAAAAGAAAATTTGATGTCATTTTTTGTTTTTAAATGATTGAAAAAAAAACAAAAATTTGTAATTTTCGCTTTTATTTTTTCAAGCGAAAACTAAAAAAAACTTGACGTTTTTAATTAGGACGTTCTTGAAGCATTTTTTTAGAAGGACTTGTCTGTTTTTTCCTGATTACAACGATCTATCAAACGATGTGATTGAATCTTACATACTGATTGAGAAAAAATCGTTTTTGCGAAGAGTGCTTTAGAAAGAACACCAACAATTTTGTTTAAGAAACTAAACTAAAAAACAAAATTGTTGGTGTTTTTTCCACCCTTCAAAAACGACCTTTTTTGACAATTAACTATATTCAAAAAATTCTAACTATAAAAATTTCGAAGTTTTGAGAGTTTAAATTTTGCACTTTGACTCTATTCATTTCAGTTGCAAAAATAATTTTCCAAGTTTTTTTGCTACAAGCTATTAGAAGAGGAAACAAGGAAGATGTAACTTAAATTGTAACTCTGTTTAATGTTTTAATTGGCAAATTTTTGTAGCTTTCTAAATAATTATAAAAAAAAACATATGCAAGATCATCAGTATCATTAAACAGACATAAAAAAAAGTTAAAAGCCAAAAAATTGCATTTTTCAAACATATTTTTCCATGTTCCTGTTATCGTACCTTACGTGATATTTTTCTCTGGGGCGCGAGTTCTGGCGCACCCGGTACAGCAAGTCAAAAGAACTACATACTTTGAAGGAGATTACGTTGCATTTGTAATTTCTTTAATAAATTGTTCGTTCACCATGTTTATGGATTAAACCTTGTAAAATGAAGTAAACAATAAACTTTTGTGAGCAGACAAAATAAACATATTACTCGAATGGAATGTGTGATGACATTGTACAATTGTACATTCAGCTATAGGAGAAAATTTGAAACTGTATCCAGATCGAAAATGTCAATATTGTCTTGTGGTTTTGTTTGTGGAAGGCGAGCTGAGCTACTGTTTGCTGTAGCGTTATTTTGGTATATGGGGTACAGTTAATTGTTTTTGGTTTTTCATATATTAAAAAAATATACATCTAATCTTAAATTACATTTAATTATCTTGCACTTATCTGGAAAGTTAAGACGGCTGTAAAGAACGCTAAACAAATCGTTTTCGCAAGTCATTTATTCGGTTGTGTGCAGCCCTGAAATACCTGCAAGTACAGAGATTAGGAAGTGGGTGTTGGCAGAAGGTAGAGTAACGAAAAAACATTATTAAGATTGTTTCCGGTATGCAAAACGGAAGATGGCAATTTACTATCGGCTTTTCCACACAGCAAAATAAATTCGCGTGCAATCTTCCTTGAAATCGACACGATTCTGTGTAATGTTTAAAAATCGATTCGAGGGTAAAAACCTGTTATTCCCTGAAACACACTTTGGCTCGCCGGACAATAGATATTTGGCTGTGCTCGGGGATAATTTCCCTGTTGTTGTAGGGAATTTTGATTGAATTTAACGAGAGGTTATTTTTTTGATTGCAGTGTATATGACACGTGAGTAAAATGGCGGATTGTTATTTTTATCGGTTTTTATGGAGAAAAAACCCAAATTACGTGTCGACGGGGAGAAATTTGGATCACGTGACACGGATACTTATTTAACGTCGAAAGTAATGCACGCCTACCTTTTGCCGCAAAATTATAAATTTTACTTTTAATTTATTGGTTTTAGAAAATTTTGCGCTATCTAAACAAAGCTAAAGCCTATTGTTATTAGAATTTTTATCCTCATTTAGATTTTTAAATATTTAACGGCAAACAAGTATACAAGGTGCGCCAGAACTTGCGCCCCCCAAAAAAATGTAAGGTAAAATACCAGGAACATGGAAAAAATGTTAAAAATTTTTTCTATAAAAATTTCGAAGTTCTAAGGTTTAAATTTCGCAATTTGAAAATAATTTTCCAAGCTACAGGCTATTAGAAGAGGAAACAAGTAAGCTGTATCCTATATTGTAACTTTGTTTAATATTATTTGTGGCTTTTATTGGCAAAATTTTTGTACCTTTACTAAATAATTGTAAAAAAACATATACATGATCATCAGTATCATTAAATTTTTGACAGATAGAATTTTAAACATTTTTTCCATGTTCCTGGTATCTTATCTCACTTGACATTTTTCTCTGGGGCGCGAGTTCTGACACATCCTGTATAGAGTTCGCAAATAAAGCGTGTTTACAAATATTTTCATATTCATTTGATAGTTATATAAATAACATATTTCATGTTTAGTTAAAGCTAAATTAAAATTTGAAACAGTAAATAATCTAATTATAAATATTTTCACGCAAATGTTTTAAATCAAGAATCAATAGCGAACCGATTTTTATTAAATCGACATTGCATTTGATGCGATGAATATTTTCAAACTGATTTGTAATTAATTATTTGACATGTGGTTAAAATATTTTTATATTGGTATAATTTTACCACGAAAACAGAATAAAATGCAATTAATCTGAAAAGCAGAAAATTGTATAACGCTCTCTTGGGACAAATTTTTTATAATTATCCTCTAATTTCAGTTAAACCAAAGCAGGCTTTATTTCAATTTGGCCGTCCTAGAAAATAGGGTAACTAAAGCACAATAGCGTGTTTTTACCATATCGTATTATGTATCAGTTAGTTTTTATCAACCAAAGTATCTTTAATTTACAATCGAATCAGGTCAGCAATTTTGACCACATTACTAATTTAAATTAACATCACTCTTTAACTCTATTTACGTTCAAAAACAAATTAATTTGTTGGAATTGTGTTCAAAATAAAACAATAATAACAGTGTAATAAACGAGTATCATTATGGACATGTCGTATCAATCACTAAGACTGCTAAGTCACGAAAATCATTCCTGAAGAATTTTTCATGTTAGTGTTTGTAACATTTCAGTCCTTGTGAAGCAATTTCCTGTCGTAATTAATCGCATTGCCGGTCAGGGACTAATTTAATTGTACTCGATGTCAAGTAATGGCTCGTTATATTTTCAAGTAAAATTAATCTACCTGACATTTTATCATGCGATAACCCATTTATTTTAGATTAATATTGAAAATTCTTGAAAATTCTCTAAAATATTTCATCAAAATTTAATTAGAACAACGCCAGGTTTTTAACTGTGTCGGAGTGCATTTTAGTGCATCGAAATCAGGAACATTTAGTGCAATAAAGCAAGAGTCGGTCCGGAAAATTGACTCGGTCGGTTGGATGGTCCCTTTTTATTCGCAGTCGATTGCGTCACGGGATTTCTGGGCTCTGTCCTGTTGCTTTAGGGAATCGAACAGTGTAATCCGTCGACGTGATAATCCTAGTCTGCTCTAAAGCGTAATGAAGCCTTACTTTATTTAATAAACGACGGTCTAAATTTTCTTTAAGCAATTTTGGGTTACCTTGGCTTGCACAAAAAAATACTCTGTTGAGGATAAACACGTAAACCGATAATCCAGACGCAACATCTAGATAATATAAAATACAGAGCAATCAAAAAGTTTATCTATCAAGCAAGCCTAGAAGTTTAAAACGTGTGTCTGTGGAAGATAAAATGTCACAATGGTAAATAAGAAAGTTCAAAATAATTTTTGTATGAATTTGTATGAATAAACTCTAACTACATCTCAGTTTAGGGTGTTTTAAGATATTTCATACAGTAATTCAATTTGTTTAGATCAATATTTTAATTTTTATAAAATAACTTTTTGACATCTAGCTGACATACAAATTTCCAAGCGACATACGTCCGTCCTTAACTAGTACGCCTACTTGATAGAAAGACTTTTTGATCGTGTTTTAAAGTTACATATTTCTGCAAAATAATAATAATACTTGTTTGTTTTAGGTGCAGAAAACGATTCAAGGATTTTGGACAAATTTTGATTGAGGTAATTAGTTGTGATTTTAATTTTAACCATTTTGGTTAATTAAATAATAATTAATAATATTAAACTATACTACTGCTGTCCCAAATTATTACATACAAATGTAAACCATAATTTGGGTCAGAGCTAGTAACAATTAGTTTATATTTAAGTTGATGTTAATTAAATAAATTATTCAAGACAAGTAGAAAAAATATAGCATCTAATTACTAACGCAAACATAGTATTTTATATTTTTCAAATGTTTATTTTTGTATGTATCATAATACAAGATACGAGTATATTTCTAAAAATGTCCATTTTATGTAATTTTGTCGGAGCCTTATTTGTGTTCTGTCTTGTAACATTTGACATATGTAAACGATTTTTTAAGACATTGTGCAGTATTTATTTTTTGAGATAAAACAACTCTAAAAACGAGTATTGCAACGCCTTGATAATTAATTAAAATTGATAAATTTTTAGAATTGAAAAGTCAAAAATGGTGGATGCGCCGGGCTATCAAATTGATACATTTTGTTAATTTTCTGATTTAAATTAGCGTTTGCATTACTGTAACAGAAGATGGATAGAAAAAAATATAGGTGTTAATTAACAGAAACCGAGATGAAAACTATACGTATCTGTACAATGTTTGAAACTTTACAAATTAAAGTGTATTTTTGTATTATAATAAAAAATATAGCATTTAATTAGTAACACGAACACAATATTTTATATTATTTGAATGTTTATTTTTATATCATAATAGAGGATAGGTATATTGCTAAAAATGTCCATTTTGTGTAATATTGTCGTGGCCAATTAAGTATGTGTTATAGAAAAAAATATGTTTCTAAAATACATGTAATAAATGCCTGCATAATTAAAGGGCCATAAATTATATGGTAATTTTAAACTCTTTAAACTCACTGTTGCATACATTAAGATATCTTAATTAATTACAAAATTGTCGCCGGCTTATTAGCGGTGAATAATCTGTTTTTAGATTTTAAACGTTAGGTACTACCACTTTTTTATATTTTATATTCAGATTAAAACGCCTGTTTTTTTCGTATTTTTATTCCCAAAACTAATTACAGAACTGTCAGATTTTTTCATTGTTTTCCTGTTATACTTCACGTGAGACCAATTAAATGTTTCATGTCATTTTTATCGTTTTTCCTTCGTTGTTTTATCGCTTGATTTCGCGCGTTTCAAGAAAATAATGAAATGCGTGTTCGTAATTATATTGGCCGGAGGGTCTGGGCCGTCTGATTGGATTTCAGTAGTGAAATTCTTTTACGACAAGCCACTAAACTCGAGTAGATATTTGTAGACCATTACGTTTTATAGACAAATTCCCATAGAGGAATTTTTACGGTGTTTTCATGCGATAAGAGTGTATCAACGAAGCTCTCCACTTTGTCGACAATACATAAAAATATAAGGGCGTTGTTCTGGTTGGGAATTAAATGATAATCCGGGGGTGGTTCGCCGACATAAATTACTGTCAACGAATTGCTGCAAGTGTAATCGAGTATGTCAAACCATACTCGTATTTATGGTAATTTTTATGAATATTTCATCTATCCTCGCCGATTTGTAAATATATTGGATGAAAAATGTGAATTTCGTGAGTCTCGTCATTCTGACAAGCCTTTTAAATATTAATAACTTTGTTACGATTGATGTCCGTTAATTCGGTTTTACGCATTTGGCCAAATCGGATTCCTCAAACGAGGTGCTCTAAAACGACTAATTTTGCAAGTTGCAGTTTCACCCAATATTTGTGAGTTTAAAAGGTAATCTTTTTTTGACATCTGACAGAGATATATTGGAGCGTCCACTCGGCCATGTAAATGACCTTTCGATTTCCTGGCGTGCAAAGGGCGCCGATGTCCACTACAAGCGCCGAAAATATCAACGGCTGTGCTAAACCTGCTCCCGGATTAATATTCCGAACAAAGACTCAAATACCTGCTTTATACGTAATATAAGTCGCGCAGAAGAGTATTCATCCTTCCGCGCCATTGTGTTTCTTGTCTTCGGCCTGTTGAGTTGTGAGAGGAGTTTCCAGGAGAACTTCCGTTCACTGCTGCTTACACATTCAGGACCGCGATGTGCTAGACGCTCGCTCTTCCAACACTTAATACGCTTTATGTGTGATGGCCTACATTGCACGGTTTCGGAAGGGTTGAGGTCAAACTGAACTTTGGTTTTTGAGAAACTGTCTCTGAATTCTATTATCTCCAAGAAAATCCAATGTTAAATTCTAGATACAACTGCCATGGAAATTTACATAAAAAATAATGATAGTAATGGTTTCCATGCTGTTTAAGAAAAGAATTAATTTGTTTGAATTGTTTTACTTATTTTCAGTTGTATTTCCATGTCAGTAAAAATTTCTTAATTAAAATAAATTGAATTGTTTAATAAATTTTATTCTGGACTCAAATTCCCTGTAGAAGTTTCAAAAAACAATGGCATTAATTTTCTTGATACTATGTACTTTAATTTTTGAAAATAATTTGATAGTCTTTGATTTTTATACAAAAGAAATTACTTCTAATAAATATTTAAATTATACAGGGTGTCCCAGCGAGTTGAAAAAGTCCATTAGTGACCTTTAAATAGTAAAACTTAAAAAAAATGTACAGGACATTGATAGATTGTAATCTAGTGCATTACCTAAAATTATTTTCAACCATACAGCATGTCCCAAAAATAAGTTACGATACAAAGCTGTGTTTTTTTTCGTATATATCTTTGCATTTTTGGATAAAACTTTTTAAAACAATGTTTTTACGCTAAACTTTTATTAGTCGATTTTGCTTAGTTTTAGAAATAAGACGGTTTTTTGACGAAAACATACACTTTTTAAAAATTCATTACACAAAAGCTAAGACAGCTAGAACAAATTTTCTCTAACTTCTGCAAAGAAGAAAGTATAGAATTTAAAGCTGTAGCAATTTTTTAGTGTTTTGCATTTGTAAAGATTAATAAATTAAGAAGTTTGTTAAAAGTAAAATAACTTAAAAAAATTAAATGGAACACCGTATTTTTCATTTTTTCATCTAATTGTCTATCTAAAAATATAAACTTTTAATGTCTAAAATTGATATTGATTCCACCAATACTGAAATCCGAATTATTTTATTGTAAAAATAAAGAATAATGGATATAGTTTAACACAAATGTGATTATTAAGTGATATTTCTTCCATCTCTTGTGCAACTGTGCACTTTTTGGCTACTGAAACAATAGAAATTATTTTTTTGATGTTTAACATTAAATATGTTTTTAAGTATTGATTATAAACACCTAAAAGTAAATAATTTTAGAAAGATAATTTAATAATCTTTTAAATGCAAAAACAATAAATAGGGTGTTCCATTAAATTTTTTTACGTTATTGAACTTTTAACAAACGCTTTATTCTTTTTATCTTTGCAAATACAACACACTAAAAAAATGTTACAACCTTATAGCTTGTACTTTCTTCTTTGCGGTATTAAGAAAAAATGTTTCTAGATGTCTTAGTTTTTGTGTAATAAATTTTTAAAAGGTGCATGTTTTTGTCAAAAAAACCGTCTTATTTTTTAAAACTAAGCAAAATCTACCAATAAAAGTTTAACTTAAAAACATTGTCATAAAAATCTACATCCAAAAACGCTAATAAACATATGATGTTTCATTTAAAAAAGACAAGTTTGTATTGTAACTTATTTTTGGGGCACGCTGAGAATGATCTAATTTCTAACGTCATTTACAAAATTGACTGCAGAGATTGCAGTAATTGTTACATCGATTAAACCTGTGAATACATAAAAAATAGAACAAAACAACACAAATATCACTTATCATGCCAATATAAGACACTCAGGCCTTTAAACATTCAGTTGAAACAGAACATTCTTTTAATTACAATAGTATTCGATTTCTACACATGGAACAAAACAAAGTTAAAAGATTAATATTAGTTAAATGTTTTCACAATGTCAATATTTCAACCAATCTAGACAAAATAGCCAATAGTTACAAAGATGTTGTAAAAAAGAAAAATCGTCAACGTGGATTATTGCATATTTTTATTATTTTATGTTTTTGTCATGTCCCCATTTACATTATTTTGATTCATTTTTTTTTAACATGTTTTACACTATTTTGTTCTGATTTACGATTTTTAACATTATTGTTTCTGTTTTTCAATTTTCGCCGTAGACGGATCATAAATAAATTTTCCCACCTCCACCACACATGTGGCAGTGTCGTCTATTTTAGGTATGTTTATTTGTTGTTTAATTCTTTTATTTATACTATTGTTGTAGACACGTTTTGTTAAAAAAATGGAAATGTACCATGGATACGTGTTATTATACTCAAGTTTTTAACTAGACTTCATCTTTTTTCTTTTTCTATAACCTTTTTCGTATAAATTAAACTGAAATGGAACCCTCCAACTAATCTTAACTACACTTCCTTTGTGTTGTTTTGTAGAGTCTATTTAATTTTTTTCTATTAAATTGTATAACGTTTATTTCATAAGCTTTTTTATCGTTTTCGCAAATTGGATATAAAAAAATCTCCGTTCTCTCTTATTCCTTTCCCATCTTCTGTCCTATATATCTATCGGATTTTTTTTGCAAAATGATGGGTTTTAAAAAGTAATCCTCGCCAATTTCGGCCAAATCAAATTAAACTTCTTAGTAAAATATGCGCGCCTTAAGACTTGCTATAACATTAATCTTACTTCTGATTGTATCCTTAAATCGCCGTAACCCTTTCGTAAAGTTTTTATAGCGGATATAGAATTTAATTTGCAAGCATTTTCAGCCGTCGACCGCAACAGAGCTCTATTCCATTGTATTTGACATAAAAATATCCTTTTTCCGCTTTTGTAAATAACATAATAGTCTCTCCGCGATAAGGATTTCTCAAGGATAAAATTGTCTGTAAATAAACTATGGCACAAGTGCTGTTATTGAAACACAGCGTTTGTCTAATGAGATAAGAAGATTTCGT